GAAGTTGATGGTGACAAGTGTACTTATAATATCCAAGTCAACAGACAGCAGTGCAAAAAAGAAAAAAAGAAAAAAAAAAAAGGGACATGCTGGGCAAGAAACTCGTACGCCAGGCTTCAGCACAAGTGACTCTCGAACTGTACCGCCAACAAATAATGCCGACCAGCGGTGCTATGTAAGCCCGATGAGCTGCTACACGTACTTGATGAAAGTCACCGTCGCTCGTTCCATGGGACCGATTTCGAGTGCCCGCATCGAAATTACAATTCGTATTGTTGACTACATCGAATTTCCAGACTGATGAGGTGAAAAGGGTGGGCCAGACGATAATAAGCAATGGACTTGGGGCGGTACGGTAGAGTACTTCCTACCGACGTCTTTGGTGACTTACACGCTCAGGCCCATTGAATAAGAACCGAAGCACAGGAGGTGACGGTGTTGTGCTAGGCGAAGCATAACAACGACCACCATTGTGCTCTGTACATTGGTGGCCCAGAAGCGGTAACAAGCTAACAACTCAAAGCTCGTCTTTTCCTAGACCACAAGCGATCACCGGGTATATGGAACTATCCAGGCAATGATTGCAAGCCTTGAGTGCAATTGCGAGTAGCCGGTACGGATACTTGATATGTTGGTCGTCTCATGCAAACAAATGACTGCCGTGGCTATCCACCCCGTTCGGCAAGCCGTGGGAGACACATAAGAGAGCCACCTTAAATTGAGCCCAGTTAGACGGAAATGAAAGGGTCGTTGCACTTATTACAGCAGACTTGATTGAGGGTTGATTTTCCTCCGCCTTCTTTTACTCTGGGGGCTGTCTAGTGGATATCTCAGATGGCAACCCATGCCTTACTGCGGCTCAGCACCAAGGTAGGACGACAATGTGTTGTTGTTGGTCGTCTTCGCAGTAGAGTAAGCGGCAAGAGTTGAGACGGCGTAGGCTGGGATGGGTCATAAAAAGGGCTTCTCTGCAGTGTACCGCAGAGGAGCTACAGCTCGTGATCCAAGCCCATCATCTCGAGGAGCCTTTATTCCTCTCATTGTCTGCATCTCTCGCGCGTCGCATGCACGTAAAAGGTGCGGTGTGTTGTACCTGAACGGCATCTGACGGGATGTCCCTATGCGCCGTTAGCTGCAGGTCCAGCTGAAGCACGGCCGAGGCTTGGGACACCAGCCAGGCCCAGTCGGTGATCCGTTCGTGTTTCCTAAGCAGCTAAGTTCCTGCGGGTAAGCTCCGAGAAACTGCGAGCGAGCTATGAGCTGGCGACAAGACTCCAAGATTGGGTTTGAGCTTGATAGCAATAATGACTCGAAGCTGACGCGAGGGTTTGAAGTGGGCTTCTCCCCGAACCTAGTTGCCGACCTTTGGGCAGTCAAAAATCCAGTCGAAGGTGCATGAGCAGAAGAGGCAAACCAAACGTGTAGTAGAAGAACAGACAAGGCACGTTGTATCGCGGAGCACGGTGTATCAACCGTATCAGGATATCAGACGGAGAATTGAAGCGGCTTAGATACACGACGGATTGAAACCAAGTCGTTTCCCCTTGCCCGTGACTCGAGCTGTGGCTGTCACATCCACGTCGTATGTCATGTGTGCGTCGTGTGTCGTTCCAGCAAGGCGAGGCAGGTCCTGATTTGACGTGAACCAGCGGGACGCCAGAAGCTCGAGGTATCTGTAGTTCCTAGGCATAGGAAAGTCGGTACTAAATTTAGCGAGACGTGTCGTTGACTAGGTACCACTCAACGATCGGGATTTGCCTCTAGCAATGTAATAATATCTGTCAGCTTACACAGCACAGTACTCCGAAGAGAGGCAGAGGAACGAAGGAGCTGGTCGGCTGTTGGTCTGGCCCTTCTGATCAGCGACCAAGCTCCGACCCCCTTACAGCTCGCAGCATGTGGCTCAACAACCCTGCTGTTATGTTAGTGTAGCGCCAGGCTCGGAATCGGAGATCAGCAGAGGATGAGGAGCCGTGTTGGACCGTTGAAGTCGAGGGAAGAAGGTCGATCAATACTTGCAGCAGTGAAGAGGATGTCTGGAATAATCGGATTGGACACAGTGCCACTGTGGCACACTGTAGGGTTGAGTTGTGGTCAGTGGTCGTCAATCGAGCATCTCACGGAGACTTTGTGATGTTGGGGTACGATGCTACGGATAGTGCCATGCCAAGTATTAGATGCGCCGGAGCTTTGTGAGAGGAAATCAATCTTCAGGAAAGGAGGCCAGTTCGGGGTAGGATCAAGTCTGTAGGGACCGATCCAGTGGCAGACTGTCATGGCAGGCCCTGTGATTGCAATTGATGCTGGGAGTGAACGTGTGAGAACTGGTCAGCAGTAAGGTACGCCAACGACATTGAACCAGAAGATGCCTTCAGAGTAGGTAGGTACTATGTAAGATAGGTAGGCAGGTACTTTCTGAGGTACGTATGCTGGTCGTCGGGGTCGGGGAGGGGTAAACCCTTGATTTTGGGTACGTATCTCATCTAAATGAGAAGTCGAGACGGGTGAACGACTGGACGTGGAAGGCGTAAGTGGAGATTCGGTGCTACTGTTTCAACTAAACGCCTCTCCGCTGCAAACGCCACCAGGTCGATCCGGATCCTTCTCCTCTCTTCAGTCTCTCAGTCTTTCTACACAAAAAAAGAGGGACGGTTTGAAGCCATCCGCACTCTGCCGCTACTCATCCACAATCCATGCAGTCGATCCTTCGGGCACCAAGACTACATACCCTTTTCTTCTCCATTTGCAATTTGCGAACACAACGGCGCGGCAAAAGGCCGCACAATTGCCGTCAACATGGTCTCATCACATCCATTGGCAATCACGAAGTACTTGAATGCCTCAGCATCTCAAATGAGCCGTGGATCCGTCCATTATCCGTTATATTCATCAAGGAACGTTCCGCAACAACGTGATCAACCAATGATGGACCTCCGAACCAGCAGAGCACAGTTTGCTTCCGGGTCGGCGGTGTCCATCAGCGGGGCGTTGGCCAACGTCGTTGTCAAACAGTCCAGCACACTCGGCGTGTGTGGGTAGATGGAGCAGGTTTGCTGGCAATTTCATAGTTCTTCTGATAGTCGTGGTCAGCAAGATTTGACCCTGTAGCAGTGCTCATCGCCTTCTCGCCCAAGATCTCTCGCCTGATGTTGACTTTGGCCTCGTCAGCCAACCATGATACCTCTTGCCCCTCAATGCCGGGACGACGATGTCTTTCACCCCCAGGTACGAAAACAGATTGGGCTTGGCGTCTTCCCTATTTATCCAGACTGGTTACGGAGTATCACTCACGGAATAACTCTTGGCGACAAGCCGACGATGTGCTTCACCAGCTCCCCGCCTTCGTTTCAAACACCATTTCCAATCGCGCCAAGTTGTTACCCAGTTTGCCAGCCCGCATCCTCATGTTACATGGTGTCGTCCTACGTACAGTTCTTTGATATCCCCAGAGAACCGCGATTGGGGAAGGAATCGGCTCCGTTGGGTTTCAGGCCCTCAGTTTCGGTACCACTACTACGTACAGCAATCCCGGACCTGGCTCATCCCATCCATGATGTTAGACCTGGAGGTAGCACACCGCTTTTCGCGCAGCCTGCTGTTCGAATTTTCGTCATTGTTGGGGTCTTGCAAAGTTGCAAAGCATCTCAATTACTCAAGAGGTCCAACCCTACGGATACAGCTGTTAGTCAGTTTCCTTCACTCGTTTATCAAAGCCGGACTGCAGCGGCAATGAGAACCAACATTCTGGCCCTGTTCCATCGTGGACGCAAGATCGGCATTTCTGTGGGGAAGGCGATCGAGTTAGCTATTCCATACTAGGCCAATACTGAAGCCCGACGAGTTGACGACCGCGGATAGGACTGCAACTAATACACCGTGGAACCTCGTCTGAGCGAATTTTCCCCTCAGAGCCCTACCAAGACTCTCTAACCTCGACAGGGAGTCCACGTCGATGAGAGCACATATGGAAACTCTCGGCACGCTCAATCATTTTGACAGCTCAGTTGCCTTAGCCAACGACCCAACGTCAACCTCCTCGTCGCCTCGGTCTCGATCAAGTCCAACCATGCATACGGCTCTCCATGGCCGCTACTGGGGCCGCCGGCAAGCATTTTGTTCCCCGAATTTTCATGAAGAGCACCTTGCGAGTTGCAACATTAGAATATTGCAACAGTCTACAGAGACCCTTTGGCCTAGAAGGTCAAAAGGTGGAGTTGCAATCCACTGATGCGCTCGCTAAAAAGAACCCATGTTCGTTCTTCAACATCTTGTCAGCGTTGGAGTTTAACAACTGGCCCCAGTGCTACGCTGTAAACATCACCCAATTTGTTGATTGCAACGCTCTCATTCAATCCTAGCCTCTGAGGAGCGCTCCTTTCAGCCCAACTTGATTCAAACGCAGCACTCAGTTCGCGGAAGCATTCACCCAGCACGTTCTCAATCGTTCGATTGTACGGATACAATCGATGGCTCGCCCAGCCCCCTCGCCCAATGGTCGATAGATGCAGGCATCATGTCCCGACTACAAGCTTTCAACATGGGACCCGCCAGCCCTCCCGTCAACCGCTCAAATTCCTAGAATTTTCACCGACGCGGGCGGGATGCCGCAGGGGACCGCGTAATCCTCGGCCTCTGCAGATGCGTTGTCCCTTGCGAAACTCGAGCATTTCCGCGCTGGTCGCCCATGGACACTCCTGGCCTACTCGTCCAATTTTGGACATTCAGATTGCCGATCACCTCCCTTCTCCTTGAGGACTTTGGACGGTTTGCTCAAGGGACGGGCAACCTCGCGTCGCGTAAATCCAAGCAACGGGGATAGCACATGGCGTTACGGGATGCTCAAATGAGGAAACGTGGCAATCGCCAACTCCAACCATAGGGGCGTCACTGCACGTCCACAGTGTCATCGGTGAACCGTCAGCTATAATTGACATGTTTCCCAAGTACTTGGGTTCGCCGCACACATCCAGCCGGGCCGACCAGATCTACTGCTATCCAGTATGTTAGTCCAACAGCTGCGGCTGCTTCTGCAAGTCCCAGAGAGCCGTGCCCAAGGATCAGCACGGCCGTCTCTCATGCGGCCGGCCCTCCCACTTCCAGAAATCTCAACGCCGCCGCCCGCCCGGCAGCCCGTAGGCTTATTCTCCGAAGTTGCATTTCCCACCCGGGCGGGCCCCCCTTTCACAACAGCAGTCGGAGTCGCCGCACGTCATACGATTCCCGACCTCGCCGCAGCTCCAATGCAAAGACTAAGACTGCCTTTACACAAACGTGGCTGAGCGTCAACCTTGTGATAGAAATACCTAGCGGAAGACATGAATCTTTTCTTACTACATAACGCTATCTTTTCCAAACCGAAAAAGGGGGACTTTGCCTCCTGGAACATCCCTCACAACCCAATATCCCCCACGATCCGGGGAAGCCCGCGAGCCCTTGTCTTCAGCCAACATCCATGCGCCCGCCGTCAATGCCTTTCTCTCCCATCATTCTCTCTTTGGCCAAAGAAATAAAACCCATTAAACTGAGTTTCTCTGACAGGTGTCCCCGCGTTGCCCGCGCCCCCTTGTCCAGTGGCGACATGGCCTGACAAGTGAAAGTGGTCTTAGTCAACCTGATGCAGGCATACTTTTTTCCATCTTCTCTTGTGTTCAAGCCATACCCTGTTCCGTCCCATGTTCCCCCTTTCCCCGATGACAGTGGCCGTGGATGCCACGGAGGAAATCTCCTCCGTATCTGGGCATCCGTGTCCGCGAGCCAACCAACCTTTGCCAGGTCGGCACGTCAGCGCAGGTGATCGCAATGCTCTGCTGCACACTCAGCCCTAACCAGACCTGACCTGACCTTACCTCATCCTCCCATCTCTTTCTGTCTTGAACGCAATGATACCCTTGACCCAGCCACGTCTCTATCAAGATGCCAGCTGCGCCCCTCCCCTGCCCTACCTCATAAGAGAATGAAGAAACCTCGCGCCGGTCTCGGGCAAACACCTCCTTCTAAACCGGCCCGAGGAACTTGGCTCCGAGACTCGGGCATCCGGGCGAGAGCAAAGTCAGCATCAAGTCTGGGCTGTGCTGCATAATACTACTCAATGTCTCTGGAAGCAAAAAATGGCCGGGCCATAAGAACAGAGAGGCCATATAGCAGGTCGAGAGAAACGAGGTTTCATCAGAATAGAATAGAAAGTATGTTGGTACAGTACACAGCTTATGCCGAGCAGCTACAAAGAAGGCATACAAGAAAGGCTTCCAAAATGTAAAATACGCAGAACCCAAAAAAAGAAGAACCTCGCTTTCGCCTATAAGCTCGGCCCTCTGTATTCTTTCCGTTGCCCAGCCCCTTTAAGCAAACAATAGAAACTCCATTTTCACTTGTTTTTTTTGAGGCACATGAGGTATTACCCATCAAACCACCCACACATCCCGACGCCGTTTTCCAACTCCTGCAGCGATACCGTATCTCTTAGTGGTACATCGACGTTCCTCTAGGTGCACCGGTACCTAGGCTCCGACGCTGCTCTCCCGCTGATGCTTCGCGATATAGTACGTGATGAGATTCTTCGGGTCGTCCTTGGCGCCTTTGATAAGTTCCCAGAACGGCGCATCACCAATCCGCGCGTGAAGAGCAACGCAGAGTTGCACAGCGCCCATGCGAACACCAGAGTCCGTTGACTCGAGACAGCGGCCAGCGAGGCCGGCAAGCTGTGCGAGCTCATTGTCTGAGGGCGTGAAGCCAGTGCGCTTGTCGAGAAGCTCCTTGAGAACATGCAGACCTGTAGCAAGACAGCGGCTGCCCTCGATCGTAGTGTCCTGCTTGCTTTGCAGAAGCTTGGTCATGACCACAACGATCTCGGGCGGGTCTCCGAGAGCTACGAGCTCTTCTGCGAGGAGCTCAAGACCGCTGACAATGCGAGTGCGTGAGTCATATGCGCTGCGCGTTGATACGAGAGACTCGAGGCCACGTGAGACGTGTGGCTGGAAATTGTCCCGTTCCTTCTTCAGCAAAAGCTTGATGGTCGCGAGGATCTGTGCCTTGACGTCCTGAACCCTCTCCGGCGCGAGCGTCTCAAGAGGTGACTCTAGATACTCAAACAGTCCTCGAAGCAGCGCCTCGAACTTCTCATCCGTGAAAACAGCCTTGTTGTCTCTGATGATTGATTGTAGCTTCCTAAAGCCGTGGACGTCCAGAGACTTCGCCTTAACTCTCGTAACACCGCTGTCAAGCAGTCTCGACGTCTGACGGGCTTTTTCGGGAGTCTCGGGCGTACCGTTGGCCTCAAATCCATTGCTCAGCGCTGGTGCAGCAACCTCATTCACGGGCTTATCTTCCAGAACGGGGATAGTGATATCTGGGTTGGCAGTTGTACCGTCATCGACGAAGGGGTCCTCGAACACCTTCAGTCCATTCGTTGACGCCGGCTCCGGTTCTGCCTTAGCCATCTCCTCTATAACAGGAGAGGGGGCTAATCCTCCCGCCGCAGCCTCGGCAGGAGCTTCCACGGCCTCCTCAAGCGGTGCCTCTTCGGTCTCGGCCGCTGGGGCCTCGGGTGAGGTCTCGGTGGGCGCTCCTACAGCAACCTCATCTTCAGGTTCTTCCAAAGATTGCTCGGCAGGCTCCGGAGTGGGCTCAGGAACGGGTTCAGAAGATGCTTCTTGTGCTAGCTCGGCCTTGGGCAAAGGAATCTCCGCCGCAACCTCCGCAGGCGCATCTGCCTCAAAGTCCGGTACTGTCGGCTCCTCTGTCGCGGCTCTTTGACGTCGATCCAAAGTTGGAGGCGACCTCAAGCTCCCGAGGCTCGGCACCACTAATGTAAGATCTTCATTGTCCCTGGACGGGCTACTCGTCGGGATTGTGGTCTGCATCCTCTTGGGCTTTGCAGGACTTGTGCGGGGCGAGTCGCGAGGAGAAGAAACAGATTTCGAAAGGGTTGACTTGGCGCCGGGTGACGCATGAGATGTCGCAGCACGAGGCCTACTTTGAGCTCTCCGTGGGGAGGCCTCGGTCTTCGGCCTCGTTGTGGTGCTCCTAGACTTGGGGTTTTCGGGACTAGATGTCTCGGCGGAGGGTCCGTCATGCGTGCGTACTGAGTAGGGTCCAGCCGTCGCGGGTCGTGCCGCCATTTCTGGCCTTCTCTTGGTCGGTCTCATGGGCCGAACGGACATGCCTCCTGAGGCTGTCGGCTTAGCGGACGGCGCTGGGCCGCTCGACGAGCTGGACGCCGCTTGTTGTGGTCGAGCGGGAGACAAGTTGGCCATTGCAGAGCCTGGGCGAGGCGGCAACTTTTGTGATGCTGCCATCGTCGCCTTCTTCTGTGCCATCATAGTCTCACGCAAGGTCGGTTTCCCAGTGCCCATGGTGCTCTTTGACAGGCCCAGGCCTGGTCTGGCGCGTGTAGCCTCGACTTCCCTCTTAGGGGCGTTGGGGTTGTTGGGGTCCTTGTCGAGGAGCTTCTGCGCTGTCGGTTCCAGCGTATCCTTGAGCCTGTTTTTTTTCTGTCAGCAAGATGCGTGGCAGATCGGAGCACTCTCGACTTACATATCTGCCCTGGGTGGCCAGATTTTGGCAAACACCCAAAAGGTGGCACGCATGCGCTCCCTTACACCGGGGTTCGCGTCATTGAGCCCCTTCTTGATGCATTTCTCGACGAGGTCCAGTCCTCCGCCGTGCTCAATGTGACTCTTGTGATGTGCTTCCTTGGTAAGGATCGTCTTGAGCCAACCAGTGGCATACGTTCGGGGCTGGACATTTTTGTCCTGGCAAGCACCCCAGATATGCTGCATGATGCGCGAATTGTAGGTGACTTTGCCGATGATGATGTTGACTGTAGTATCTGCCTGCTGGGAAGCAATCTTCTTCGTTGCCGCGGCGAGTTTGATGAAGGTCTGCATAAGAAGCTCCACCAAAGGATCCATGCCGGGGCCAAAGGTCATGGCGATATCCTGTACGAGATTGCAGCCTTCTTTTGAAAGACTGGTCCGTAGCGAGGTGATGGCCTTGATGATTCCGTCGAGTAGTCCCTTAAGACCCAGCAGGAAGGCGTCGGGGAAGTCTTGGGGGACGTTGCCGGCAATCAACCTGCGCAACTTTGTCATGCTCTCTTCGCGCTTCAGCCAATTCTGCTCCGACTCCCTGCCCTCAAAGTACATCATCATTTCCCTAAGAATGTCTTCTAATTCACGCTGGGTGTTGGCATATGACGGCTCGACCTCGCTTCGCGTTTCGGGGGCTGGTGTAACAGGGCGCTCGCTCGCAACGGAAGACACACTCGCGGCAAGCTTCGGTCGAGGGGCAGGAGCGGGAGCATCGAGGCCTGGAGTCTTTGGTCGGTCGGCTGCTGTGGGCGCAAGCTCTTTGACAATGGCTTGTTCAATGGCGGGGCGGACATTGAAGTTCTTAAGCTGTCTCTTGAGGTCAGACTTGGCCGCATTGGGAGCATTCCTGCATTATATCAATTAGCGCGAATCATGCGATCGAACCCGCGTCCAGGAAACATACCGGAACAGCTCAATGACGGTGCTCTTAGCGACGTCGCGCACCATGCCATCAGCGTCTTCGAGCAACTCCATGAGAGTCGGGACGTAGGCGCGGAACTGGGTGCCGTGCTCCTGGTGCATGTACAACAGCCAGTGCATGCTGGCCTCCTTTGCCCTCGGGTTCTTACCAACCATGGCAACATTCTTGACGGAGCGCTCGACGTCCATGGGGGCGGCTGTGTAGATGGTGGTCAGTGCCTGCGATGCGAGGCTCCTGAACTTATCCTTGGGGTCGCCGAGCTTGTCAATGACCAGGGGAAGTGTGTGTTTCGCATCCTTGGCAATGTACTTTGGCTCCTGTCTCGACAGTCTTGTCAGGAGGTGGTTGAGGGCCGTGAAGCCGGCATTGACGAGGACGGCGTGCGGCGAGGTAGAGGCGGTACGGAGGCCGTCGAAAACTTGTGGTACGAGGACATCGGGAACGTTGTGCTGCTTGATGCCGGACTTGATGCCGGTGACGTGCTGGACCTTTTGATCGACGCTGGCCTCGCTGCGGAGGATCTTCAGCAGGTCGTCGACCTGTTCTTCGGTGATTTTCTCCGCCATTCCCTGCAAAACGAGGGTTGGGCTCGGGGTGGGTTGTGCCTGGTGCGAGCAGAAGGCAGTGTCAGCAGTTGTCTGTATATATCGTGGTCAATAGTGGTGTCGTTTGTCGTCGTTGTCATCACAAAGGAAGCTTGGACGAATGAGACGGTTTGCGCGCGCGCGGGTAGGTAGCCAGTCAGGACAGACGAGCGACGGGGAGGTCG